AAACCACTTTCTCAGACATATTGCCTCTTATTGATAGTGCTTTGGGCCTCAGATAGCTAATTGAGCATCCCTTATTCAAGTATGAAGTATTTCAGACTTCAGATAGATGGGATTTTGGAATATTTGCATAGACTTTACCAGTTGAGCATCCTTAATCTGCAAATCCAAACTCTGAAATGCCCCCAAATCCCAAACTTTTGAGGGCCATATTTTTGGATTAGGATGCTCAGCCTGTAATTACATGGCATTGCATATGCACACAGGACTGTCATGCACATGTCTTATCTGAGTCCTCACATTTGGTCCTGTGAGGTCGGTGCCATTATTACTCCCATTTTGCAGATGAGGAAACAGGCATAGAGAGATTATGTAATTTACCTAAAGTAAACAGAACCCAGGTTTGTACTACCAACAGCCTGACAGTAGTCTATTCTTTTAACCACACAGTCTGCTCTCTGCTAAAATGTTAGGTGCTTTTAAAAGAAAAATCTACAGAGATGCAGAGAAAATAAAATGACAGCCCCTGAAAATCTGAGTTTGTTGCTGACTTTCAGAGATTTCTCCACCAAGTAGGAATCTTCTGTTTCAGTCTCTGTTCTCAAGGATATTTGTGGGACCCAGAGGTCCTTATTGGGAAGGAAGAGAGAAAAAGACAGGGCCCTCAGGCTGAGCTCCTGTCCCATCCATCATCTACGCCCTACGCTGGCTAAGTCTGATCACCCCCAGCCAACCCCTAGGTTGGTCTCCATGTCTCTACAGAACCCATAGAGCAAGACTTTTTCCTTTTCTCTGCCAGGAGAGGTCTTGACAAGCCCACAGGTTTACAGCACTCACTTGGAGTAGCGTGTCCTTAGCTGAGACACTCTTGTGTGTCATACCATTGCAGCTTCTGGGTGACAGTAGCTGCGTGGGCTTTGGAGTTGGGCAGGCATTCCAGGCTCTGCCTTTTAACCCTGGAAAACTCTGGACAAATCCCATCACCTTTCCAGTGTGCACTTGCTCCCTTAGTGTGCCAGATGGGTTTGATGATGACACCTCAGGATTGTTGAGAGAGTCAAATATGAAGTTTTCTATAAAGCTATAATTATGCATAATTACTACATTTGATTGTCAGAGATTAGAGCTGAAAATTTCATATCCAAAGGCTCCTTCTTGCAAAGTTTCAGGAGTTCCCAGAACTGAGTGTCTGCCCAGCCCGCAGAGGAGGGAGGGTGGAGGAGAAAGGCTCTGGCTCTCAATGCCAGCTGTAGCAGTCACTCCAGATAGGTCACAACTGGACAGTAATCACTTGTCCTAAGACTCAGTCTCAAGAACCTGTCTTTACCATTTGCCGACTTTTGCTGATTGGATTTTCAGCCAGCTCAGGCCTAGCGACTATCCTGGGCAGGTGTGTTTAAACCATGGTGCTTGGGGGCAGGGGTAGGGGCTTCTTTTCTTTGAAGAGTTATCAGAGAAGATAACTTTTTCCAGCACATCCCAGCTGTCTAAACTGAGCAAATGTTTCCCATATCTAAACCAACTCCAGCATTTGACAGTCTCTTTGTCCCTCGGCAGAGGCAGTGAGTGAAAGCCAAAGGTAGGTTTCCCTCCTTTCCAACAGGGAAGTCAATTATCTTAGAAGTTAAGAGGTGCACTCTGGGGCTGGAGATGTGGCTCAGGCGGTAGCGCGCTCGCCTGGTATGCGTGCGGCCCGGGTTCGATCCTCAGCACCACAAACCAACAGAGATGTTGTGTCCGCCGAGAACTAAAAAATAAATATTAAAAATTCTCTCTCTCTCTCTCTCTCTCTCTCTCTCTCTCTCTCCCCCCCCCCTCACTCTCTTTAAAAAAAAAAAAAAGGTGCACTCTGAAGTCAGAAAGCCCCAGAGAAAAGCAGGTTTCTTAATCCAGCTCTGCTGTTTGCCACCATGATTTTTGGCCAGGTCTCTGGTCTCTATGTGTTCCTCATCTCTAAAACGGGGATGATAATATCAGATTTCAGAGATTCTAAGTTGTGATTATTTTTTTTTCACATTTTGACAATTCTGAAATTGGGATGCATCTTAAAAATCAGTTGCATCTTGAATTTGTTGAAATAGAGCAACTCTGGCTTTGCAGCGTTGTATAAATGAGAAATGTGTGCAAAGGCCTGGCCCTTCCAAGGCACTCAGTTAACAGAAGCAGATATTGTTGTCATCGTTATTACCCGTACTATTATTTGTGCCTCTAGGGTGTTCTGAAAGCCTGAACTGAGCAGTAGGACTATAGTGAATGTGATGGTCTGTACCCCAAAGGTTTAAGTGAAGGGAATTTGGTCGTCATGTAACAGTATTGGAAAGTATTGGAACTTTTAAGAGGCAGGGCCTAGTGGGAGGAGGTTGAGTCCTGACGACCCTCAGAAAGGATTAATGCTGGTGTCTCTGAGTGCATTGAGTTTTACAGGAGTGGATTAGTTCCAGTAAGAGTGGGTTGTTAGAAAGAGTGAGTCTGGCCCCTTCCACTATGTTATGAGGCAGCCAGAAGGCCTCCACCATAGGGGCCACCCAATGGGCCCACCTGTTCTTTGTCTTTTAGCCTACAAAACTGATACCAGGTCTTTATGTCCTTCTCATTTAATATAACATTATAAGACAAGGATTGCCTTATTTCAACAAATCTAAGGTATTTAGATTGATTTTAAAGGTGTATCCCAATTTCAAAGACATAAAAATGTAAAATAAATAACCTCTTTAGTTTATAAAAGTACCCAAGCCAGGTATTTTGTTATAGCAACACAAAACAGACTAAGACAGTGAAGAGCAATAAATATGGCCAGAATAAAGGATAAAACCTTCTGGAAGTCAATATTAAGGGACTAAATGATTCATTCACACATAAACATCCCTAGATATTTACATGCCCTTTACATTTCTAGGGTTGCTTGCTATCACTACTCACTCCTCTTGCTTTCTGGGTTATTCCCACCCCTTTCTCTGACTTCTTTCTCTTTCTGGTCACACGTTCCTGTTTGTTGTCTTTAAAGATGCAGTGACAGAACTAAGCAGTGAGTTTAAGGAAGCAGGAGAGCCCATCACAGATGACAGCACCAGCTTGCACAAGTTTTCTTATAAACTTGAGTATCTTCTGCAAGTAAGTGACACCTGTCCTGTGTTGATTTTGGCAATGTTGTCTCTTGTTTCCCTCTTGGGTGACTTATCAGCATTGAGGATATGATACCATCAGGAATATCAACAGAGCCATTAAGCCCACGGTTAGACTCAAGGTCAAAGCCAGAGCTCAGTCCTCTTCAGTGTGGTTCTCTGGGGAAATCAAGGTGTTACTCCTTAGGGTGGTTTTGGAATTGAGAACATTCTTTAGAAATGTAGGCATCTCAAGGCAAGTCACAAGGCCACTGTACAACAAGGATCTTAACTTTAGTGCAGTTACATGGCCCTTTGAGGGTCAGTGAAAGCTGTGGGTCTCACCCCAAATAGACGTGTATGTGCACACCCAGTCACACGGGCAGTTTCCAAGAGTGTGAGGACCCTCTGAGGATTACCTGTAGGCCCCTGTTTTAGAGTCTTGCTGTACCACGTGTGGGCCAAGACCAGCAGCACCAGCCTCACTGGGGAGCTGGTTAGAACATTCCTCGTTTCCACCCTGACCTACTGAATCAGGACCTCCCAGGTTGGTACAAGAAACTTTGTTATTTTTAGCATAATTGTGGTATAACTCTTGTGCCTGTTCAAAAAGCACTCTAGAGAACAGCTGTAGCTGTGGAAAAACACTGAAATAAGCAGAAAGGAAATGAACCTGAAATTATTTTAGGGTAGTGGTATTAGGCATTGTAATTTTTTGTTTTGTTTTGTTTTGTTTTGTTTTGCTTTTTTCAAATCTGGATTTCTCACAGCTTGCTTCCATAATCAGAAAAAAAAAAAAAAAGCTCTAATAGAAAGAATCAGAGGAGAAAAGGCCTGGGGTTGAGGGCTTGCCTTCCTCATGCCTTCAACTACTTCTTTGCTTGGCTTTACAAAAATACTTATGGACTTTTGTTGTTGTTAAGCCCATTTTGGTTTGGATTTGAAATGACTCAGAGCTGACATTTACTTGAATTTGTTCTATATGTATTAGAGTAGCCTTGAAACTTAAAGATTTGAGTAACTGGGATAAAATGTCATCACCACATTTCCCTAATTTGGGGCATAGTTAACATTCTTCATGTTGACTCAAGACTCTTTGCTTCTATTTATCATGTGTTGACAGCAACCAGTGATCTTCCACTTAACTCTCTGCGCAGAAGTCCCTTCAAGGGCTAAATCTTTCGTGACTCCTGAATCTCACTAGTTGTGTGACTTTGAACCAGTTTCTCATAGCCTCAGTTTCATCATCTAAAAATTGGGAATTCACATACTCTCATTTTGTGATGAATATATCTTGGTTTGCCTTAAATAAAAATAATGTCAATAAAGGGTGTTCCCCAGTGCTAAAACCTGAGAAGCTCTTTGTTATAGTTTATCATTTAAATGGTAGAATGAGCAATAGGGGGTTTGGGCCCTTTCTGTGTCTCTTTTCCAACCCAGTTCGATCAGAAAGAGAAGGCCAGCCTCCTGGGCAATAAGAAAGACTACTGGGATTACTTCTGTGCCTGCCTGGCCAAGGTGAAAGGAGCCAACGATGGGATCCGATTTGTCAAGTCCATCTCGGAGGTAAGCTGAGAGGAGTAGCAGAGGACCCCCTGGCTTCCTCTGGGTGGGGTTGCACATCCTTGCAGAGACCTCTGCTGCCAATTGCCAAGTGCAGATGTGGGGGTTACAGGTGAAGAAGTAACAAACCCGGCCAGGCACACTTGGCACCCACTGTTGGCTTGGCTCAAGCCTAGGGAACCACCTAATTGAGTACCTGCCAGGCAGTGGGGTTGCTTGGTCCTGAACATCTCCTGGCAGGGAGGGCCATTCACATTGTAACTCTCTGCTCATGGCACCCTTTGGAGGTATGTCTCTACCTTTAAACATAGTAATAATTTAATTCTTAGAGTTTGCGAGGCTGCTTTCCCTACAGTTCACCCAGGGAACTTGGATTGAAAGGAAGAGACTGAGGTTGGATCTCAGGAACACTTCATAGCATGCTGGTGTGGTAAGCAGCTTCCTGCATCCAGAATGCTGTGGCTTTCCATTTTACAAATCTCCTGGGCAATAGGCACGCACACTCACACTTCTGAACTTCTGGAAACGGCTTACTAGAACTTTCCTATTATAGTCCAGATGGTTATCTCCTACCCCATGGGAACTAATGGTAATGACCCACACACTCACAAGCTCTCCCTCTCCGCCTCTCTCCCACCCCTACCCCCAGCGAATGTCTCTCCCTCCCTCTCATGAGCTAGCTCATCCAGAAGTGAAGCCCTGAGCTTTGGGGCAGGAGGTCTAAAGGGTCTGTGCATTTCATCTTGTCAGCATCTCCAGAAAGGGGGAAGTCACTTTGAAGTCAGCACACAGGCTCCTTGTCGGGCCTCCTGCAAAGGCTGAGGCACTGGGGTTCTGAAAAGAGCTGCCCTCGCCCAGCCATGCCAGCTGGAGCCAGGGTGTTTCTTCTTATAGAGGATGATGGCACCAGATACGCTGACTTCAGGGCCTGGGCATTTCCACCAGCTGCACCCAAGATGGAGAGCAGGGTCTAATGCATCAAAAATCTGGAAAGTTCCTGTTGTCACCTCCTAAGCTACTCCCTCAAAATAACCAAAGCCTTCAACTGTATGCCTTTGAATAGCTGAAGTCTGAAAATAAATTAGTTTTAATTCCCATTCCCCAGCTTTAAGCAATGTATTTTTTGGCTAGTTTCATCTTTTCTCATAAGACCTTTAGACAGTTGGAGGTCATGGAAGTGGACCTTCCAGAAGCAAAAAGCATACTTTGCAAATGGTTTTTTGGTGGCTGGCATAGGCTTTGCCTCCTATAGGGCCAATTCTTTCATCTTGGTCACAAACTGTGCTCTGTGGGGTATCACTGGTTAGAATGGCTTGGACATGGCTGAGCTGGGTGACCTGCTGGGTACTTCGGTCAATCTCAGTAATCACATGTGCCCTAGATCTTCAGGAGAGATGATAGTAAAATTCATGGCTCAGAAGCATTTTTAGGGCCCATTAGTTCCCATGGGGTAGGAGATAACCATCTGGACTATAATAGGAAAGTTCTAGTAAGCCGTTTCCAGAAGTTCAGAAGTGGGCTCTCCTTGGACTGTGGTTTGTCACCATGAACAGGGTGCATGTTGACATCAGGCTTATGGCACAGTTTAAAGCAGAAACTGTGAGCAGACTAGTCTCAAGTGTCCTGCAGATGCCTTCTCCTATGCTGCTATCATGTCTCTTCTCAGCATAATACATGTGGGTTCTATTTAGATGCTAAAAAAAAATAAGGAATTAGGTAATGAAAGTGGACCCAAGATCTAAAAAGGTAAAAATAAAAAAGCTATGTAGTTATTTTCATTTGTAGTACAAAGCAACCACTGTTCCCTTCCCTAAAGGATGTTTAAAAACACCTTTTAAAGTAAATGGTTCCCTTTTTATATGATATATATATATATCATACATATCAGTTTAACTAATGAGCTTGATTAGAAACATGGCCTCAAATGTCTGCCATTTAAAAGGTTTTACTGTTCTAAAGGCTGTGATATTGGTCAATATGCCAAGAATAAGAACAGGCTCCTGATTTGGAAGCTTATAGTGGAGGACAGGGGGGAGGGGGTCTTGTTAAATTCTGCAGGGCTGTGGGGAAGTGTGTTTTGCTCACCTGTTTCCATTGGCCTGAGTTTCCTGGTTATCCTTCTGAGCACTTTTTCTCACCTCACTCCTCAGTGGAAAGAGTATTTGGACATGGGAATGTCATTGAGAGTCTCCCCTGGGCCTCTGTAGAGGTCACCTCTCTGTACACATGCCATGGCAGTTTTTATAAAGTCAGGAAGTCAGGCCACTGCCAGCCTTCACTTCTGGGTGTCCTGACTATACACCAGACTCACGTGGAAAATTGTCACAGTTTCTGTAAGTCATGAGGTTTCACACCTTTTTATTTTTTAAAACCACTTCATGTTCTAGTATTGCTTCCTTGAGTTGGCAATAAGAAGACCTAGCTCTGAGCTAATGGTGTGACAAGCTGCTGGATGTTTACATCATTCATGTGCCAGTGCTTGAGGCGCCTCCGCATATATCCCGTGTCCACCCAGGGCCTCAGTTAACATCTCCATAGAATGAGGTTTAGCACCTTCTTTCTGTGAAACCACTGCTACCCCATCTCCCACCACATTCTTGACCTTTGAAGCAGGTCAGAGGAGTGGGAAGCATTGGTCCCTGACTCACCCCTCTCAGCCAGAGCCTGAAAGAATAGGTGCATGTGGTAGTTTGGGGCGCTGTGGGGTGGGGGGGCAGTTTGAATCTCACCTACTTCAATTGGGCTTCTAGGGCTGACCTATCAGAAATATGAATCCTAATTTGCAGACTAGTCTCAAGTGTCCTCTATAGCTGGCCCCTTTATTCCATCTGTCTTGGCTGCCACGTGTTCCCAGCTGCCATGGTTTGGCTGCCTTGTGGCAGAATACTCCATACTCTGACCAGAATACTCCATCACCATCTCAACAGACTTCCAGAAACCTCCTCAAAAACCATGTTGTAAGTGGTAACTTTAAACCTTAAGATGGTTCCAATCAGACCTCGTCTTTCATTTGAATTGGTTTTGTAGTTTGGACATTGTAGGATGGTTTCAAAGACCTGCCTGCCACCTGGGCCCTTCTGTGCCACCCAGCACTGTGTGACGGGCCTCCTGGAGATCCCTGCTCTCACCCCCTGGGCATGCTCTGACTAAATACAGTAAGATGCATATCTGAAAAGAAACCAAAGCAACCAGGGAAGTGCTGACAGTCATGTGAATTTTATGGATGGTTTTATGGGGACAGAGGAGGCTATTATACATATGGTGAATCTCCCCCCCACACACACACACCCTCCTCTGCCTTTGCCCTCTCTTCCTTTTTTTCCATGTGCCCCAGCGAAGCCCCTGAGGCTTCTTCCCTGTACCTGCCCCCAAACACCTTAAAAACAAGCCCAACAGTAGCCAACTCATTACAACAGTAGCCTTCAATTCCAAATTAATGTTCCAAATTAAAGAGTTTCATGTTTGACCCAGGAATTCTGATGGAGCATAGGAGGGAGAATGTCATTCTAATAGAATCCACAGGGATTTGAGAGCATCTCATTCACACATCTTCCTTCACACAAATGCAGGCCTCTCGATTATTGTCAAATGTAGACCTGCAAGAATTGACCTACTGCAGGCCTCACCCTGGAGTGACATTATCAAGTGCTTTGTGTCCTTTGAGGGACACAAGTGAAGCCACTATGTAGGGTAGAATTGAACGAGGTGTTCTGCCCTGTGTCTGGTTTTTGCAAGTCCTCCCTTGGGCCAGGTCTGTATTTGGAGTCAGCTAACAGCTCTTCCTCTCTATGTAATCTGCTTTTTCTAGCTTCGAACATCTCTGGGGAAAGGAAGAGCCTTTATTCGCTACTCTTTGGTGCATCAGCGGTTGGCAGACACCTTACAGCAGTGCTTCATGAATACCAAAGTGACCAGGTAAATGCAGGACAGCTTCATCCTATACCACTGAGATACGAACTGACATCCCTTCTTAATAACAATGACAGCTCCTCTAGTAGTACCCATTCATGTCACCCGTAGCAGACACCTGCTGCGTCCTTCCACATCCATCGTTCTTCTCTGCCCCTCCTACCACAGTCCTTGAGCATGGGGGGCAGGCAGCCCTGAGTTTGTACAGGTGAGAAAAGGGGGCTCAGTCCAATTAAATGCCTTTCTCTAGGCCCCCCTGAGCTGAGCTGTGGAGTCAGAGCTTACAGCCAGGTCTCCTAACACAGTGCCAGGAAATTTTCTCTAGGGCTCCTGGATGTCAGTGTTTGAGGACAGTTGCAACCGTGGCCTCTCAGTAGAACTGCCTGTTGGGTTTTGAACTCCAGTGAACCTGGGTTCTCACCTGCTGCAGCAGTCAGCACTTACCAGTGTATCCGGGCTTCCTGGAGAGCATGAGGGGTGGCCAAGGGTGTGAGCTGCTGCAGGGCCCAGGTTGTCTGTGTGTCAGCCTTTGGATCACTAGTGCTGCAGCCTTAGTCAGGAAGAGAAGAGGGAGGAGAGAGACTGGATTGAGAGTGTGAGGAATGGGCATTAGATTAGGAGCTGCAGACCAGCCACTACAGCTAGACTTCTTTGGGTTGCCCAGCATCCATTTACCAGCAGTGCCTCACCTCTCCTCACCTCTAGTTAGTCAAAGAAATCACTTTTGAATTAAAAAAAAAAAAATCTATCATGAGAGAATGTTTTGTTTCATTTGTCACCTTCAAGGTTGAGTGGCTTAAGGACAGGCTTCTTTTGCTGGTGACAGGTCTTGTGAGTTGTGCGAGTTGAAAACATTTGCCCATTTGATTTGAAGAATAGTTTTCTCTAGATGTTTGGTGAAGATAATTATGAACAACTTGGCTTCATCACAGTCTACAGACATTAGCCAAGTTACCTACACTCATCAGCATTATCTTTTTTAGTTTTTGTTGCTTCATGTGAAACAAAACAACCTCTGCCTCTAAGCTCAGTTGGTATTTCTGGCTAGGTAGCTGTTGCTTGGCTTTTAAACTGGTGTCTGAACAGAAATTAGCAGTGAGTTAGCTTGATGTCTCATATTTAGCTCTTGAAAGGAATAGAAGGTAAGATTACTTTTCAAAAGGGAAGTGTTCTGTCAGCCAAAATTGCCATTTCTTGGCAAGTAACTGAGATTTAAGGCTTTTCACATCCTCTTTGAGAAATAGGTATAAGTAATAAGTGATTAAACATCTAGATCATGGTAGTGATTTCTTTGATGAAGAGTAGGCTTATTTCAGAGTTACATACTCCTACAGTGAAAATGAAATTGGTTTACATGTGTGTCTTTCGTTAATTTAGTAACCCACACATTTTGTTTTCCTCCAGCGACTGGTACTATGCAAGAAGCCCCTTTCTGAAGCCAAAGCTGAGCTCTGACATCGTGGGCCAACTCTATGAATTGACTGAGGTTCAGTTTGACCTGGCATCGAGAGGCTATGATTTGGATGCTGCCTGGCCAACATTTGCCAGGTACTTAGAGGAATCACTGGTTTAAAAAGTCAGGGAGAGACAGGGCTGGGGTTGTGGCTCAGAGATAGAGCATTCACCTACCAGGCATGAGGCACCAGGTTCAAGCCTCAGCACCGCATAAAAATTTAAAAAATAAAGATTAAAAAAAAAAGTCAGGGAAAGAGATGTTTGAAGTGTTGAAGACAGCCACCAATCCACTCAAAGCAATTTTGCTTGCTCAGTAAATTGCATCCAGGTTTGCACCCCTTCTACCTGTTAATTTTGCAGACTTTGGTGAGTCGTGTCTAAGATAACATCTAAAGGCTCCAACCATAACCCAGCCTAATTGGCCATGTGGTATGAGTCAGTGGAGATGTGAGGCTTAAGATTTTTAGAAATTTTAAGGGACTTGTTGGTGTGGGAGTAAGGGAGGTGGATCTGGGCTTTCCCCATTGTGTTTGCCCATTGTCACAGAGGCTATCTCAGTTGTAGGAAAGGGAACAAAAGTCCCATCTTATCTCTTGTTAGGCTTGCTGGAAAGATTGCTGTCCCTCCTTTTTTTCTGTCTGAAGGTCAGCAAGTCAGCCAAGGTGTGATGAGCACACCATCAGAGAGCTCACAGTGTGAGGAAACAGGATCAGAGGGTAGAGGAGCTGGTGGGCA